CAAGCTTCCAACAAACAAAAGTCCTGGACCAGATGGCTTCACAGGTGAATTTTACAAAACATTCAAAAAAGAATTAATACCTATTCTCCTCAAACTATTCCAAAAAACACAAACAGAGGGAAGGTTCCCAAGCACATTTTATGAGGCCACTATTACTCTGATCCCAAAATCAGACAAAGATATTACAAAAAAAGGAAACTACAGGCTGCTATCCCTAATGAATATAGACGCAAAAATCCTCAACAAAATACTAGCAAACCAGGTTCAGTAACACATTAAAAAGATCATACACCATGGTCAAGAGGGATTCATTCGTGTTATGCAAGGTTGGTTCAATATTTGCAAATCAACTAACGTAATACATCACACTAACAAAATAAAAAATAAAAATCATAGGATCATATAAATAGATGCAGAGAAAACATTTCACAAAATCCAGCAATGATTTATGATAAAAACTCTTAGCAAAGTGAGAATACAGGGATCATATCTCAAAATAATAAAGGGCATGTATGATAAGTCCACAGCTAACATCGTACTCAATGGGGAAGGACTAAAATATTTTCCTTTAAGATTAGGAACAAGACAAGGCTGCCCACTTTCACCACTTCTGTTTAACAAAGTTCTGGAAGTTGTAGCTACAGCAATCAGACAAGAAAACGAAATAAAAGGCATCCAAATTGAAAAGAGGAGGTAAAATTGTCATTATATGCAGATGACATGGTACTATATATAGAGAATCCCAAAGACTCCACCAAAAAACTGTTGGAACTCATAAATCAATTTAGTAAAGTAGCAGGATACAAAATTAATATTCAGAAACCAATTACATTTGTATACACCAATAATAAACTATCAGAAGAAGAAATCAGGAAGTCAATCTCATTTATAATTGCTTCAAATACAATAAAATACCTAGGAATAAATTTAACCAAAGAAGTAAAAGACTTGTACTCAGAAAATTAAAGAGCACTAAAGAGAGAAATCAAAGAAGATACAAATAAATGGAAATACATACCATGTTCATGGATAGGAAGAATTAATGCAGTTAAAATGTCAATACTACCTAAGGCAATGTATAGATTCAATGCAATTCCTATCAAACTACCAAGGACATTTTTCTCTGAAATAAAACATATAATCCTAAAATTCATATGGAACCATAAAAGACCCCGAATAGCCACGGCAATCTTGAGAAATAAGAACAAAGTGGGAGGTATCACGCTACCTGACATCAAATCATACTACAAGGCTACAGTAATCAAAACAGTATGGTACTTGCATAAAAACAGACTCATAAGTCAATGGAAATGAATAGAGAGCCCAGAAATAAATCCATCTATATATGGTCATTTAATCTATGACAATGAAAGGAATAATTTACATTGGAATAAAGACAGTCTATTTAGTAAATGGTGCTGGGAAAATTGTTCTGGCACATGCAAAAAAAATGAAAATGAAGCTCCTCCTTACGCCATATATGAGAACAAATTCAAAATGGATTAAAGACTTAAATGTAAGACCTCAAACCATAAATCTCCTAGAAGGAAATATAGGTAGTAAATTTGTAGATATTACCCTCAGTAATATTTTTACTGATATATCCCCTCTGGCAAGGGAAATAAAAGAAAAAATAAACATATGGGATTACAGAAAACTTAAAAGTTTTTTCACAGCAAAGGAAATCATTAACAAAACAAAAAGGCAGCCTACTGAATGGTAGAAGGAATGTACCAATAATATATCTGATAAGGGGTTAATATCCAAAATTTATAAAACACTCATTCAACTCAACACACAAAAAAACAAACAACCCAATTAAAAAATGGGCAGAGGATATGAAGAGACATTTCTCTAAAGTGGACATACAGATGGTCAACAGGCATGTGAAAAAATGTTCAACCTCAAAATCATTAGAGAAATGCAAATAAAAACCACAATGAGATACCACCTTATACCAGTGAGAATGGCTATCATCAATAAATCAGCAAACAACAAGTGCTGGCGAGGTTGTGGAGAAAAGGGAACCCTGTTGCACTGTTGGTGGGACTCAAGATTGGTGCAGCCATTATGGAAATCAGTATGGATTTATCTCAAAAAACTGAAAATGAAACTACCTTATGTCCCAGAAATTCCACTCTTAGGTATCTATCCAGAGAAATCCAAAACTCTAATTTGAAAAAATATATGCACCTATATATTTATTGCAGTGCTATTTACAATATCCAAAAGTTGGGAAAATCCCAAATGCCCATTGGTAGACGACTAGATTAAGAAGCTGTGGTACATTTATACAATGGATTATTACTCAGCTATAAAGAAGAATGAAATTGTACCATTTGCAACGATATAGATGGACCTAGAGGACATTATGTTAAGTGAAATAAGTCAATTGGAGAAAGAGAAACACCATATGATCTCACTTATATGTGGAATCTAAAGAACTGAATAAATTAGCAAAGTAAACAGAAATAGTCTCAGAAATATAGAGGAAAAACTGATGGCTGCTAGATAGGAGGGGGTGGGGATGTAGGAAAAGGGGAAGGAATTAGACAGCATAAATACGTAACTACAATATTGCCACAGAAATATGAAAGACAGTTCGGGGAATACAATTAATAATGTAAATATTTTGTAGTTTGTCAGATGGTCACATGTCTTGTTAGGGAGACCACTTCATGGACAGTGTAGATGCTTGACAACTGCACTGTACACCTGAAGCTGATGTTGAATAATATTGTATGTCAACTATAATTTTATATCTATCTATCTATCTATCTAGTCACGGGATGTGGAGTATTGTGTAAGGAGTGGAGTCAATGGAATTGTAATAGATACATATGTCATCGGGGGTAGGTGTGGAGTAGTGGATTATGGGAGGGGGGCTGTCAATTTGTGAGGGGTGAAAAGTGTAACTATTGCATTGTTTTGTACACCTGAAACTAATAACATAATAAAATAAAAAGCTTCTGTACAGCAAAAGATTCATCAACAAAATAAAGAGGCAACCCACCGAATGGGAGAAAATTTTTGCAAACAATGCCTCTGATAGGGGGCTAGTATCCAAAAATATATAAGGAACTCATACAACTCAACAAAACCCCCCCCAAATAATCCAATTAAAAATTGGCAGAGGATCTGAATAGACATTTATCCAAAGAGATCATACGGATGGCCAATAGATATATGACAAGGTACTTAACATCACTAATCATCAGAGAAATGCAAATCAAAACCACAATGAGATATCACCTCATACCAGTTAGAATGGCTATCAGCAACAAGACAAATAATAGCAAGGTTTGGAGTGGCTGTGGTGAAAAAGGAACCCTCATACAGTTTTGGTGGAAATGCAGATTGATGCAGCCACTATGAAAGATAGTGTGGAATTTCCCCAAAAGATTAAAAATAGAATTACCATATGACCCAGCAATTTCTCTCTTCAGTATCTACCCAAAAAATCTGAATACATTTATCCATAAAGATATATGTACTCTGATGCTCATTACAGCTTTATTTATGGTGGTCAAGTCATGGAAGCAACCAAAGTGTCCTCTGATAAATTATTAGATAAAGAAGGTGTGGTACATATACACAATGGAATACTATTCTGCCATAAGAAAAGATGAAATAGTGCCATTTGCGACTACATGGATGGATCTTGAGATTATAATGCTAAGCAAAATAAGTCAGACAGAAAAAGTCAAGAACCATATGATTTCACTAATATGTAGTATATAAAACTAAAAACAACAAATAACAAGACAAACAAATGAAGAAACAAAAGCTCATAGACACAGAAAATAGTTTAGTGGTTAACAGAGGGTAAGGGGTCTTGGGGGCGGTAGATAAGGGTAAATAGGATAAAATATATGGTGATGGAAAAAGAACTGACTCTGGGTGGTGAACACACAATGTGATATACTGATGCTGTATCCCAGAACTGTACACCTGAAATCTATGTAACTTTGTTAATAAATTGTCACCCCAATAAATTTAATTAAAAGAAAAGCAAAAAAAAAGTGTGCACAGTTATAGATTATTTTGTCCATATCAAGAAGCCATGGGACTGGTTTGACTGTTAATACTGGAATCAGGTGGTTGTTTGTTGTTGCATTTCCACAGCCTTAAGGTTACCACATTGTTACTCTGACTGAATTTTTACTGTGATTGAAGAAAATGCAAGCATTCCAGGTATCCCTGGCATGACACAGGTGCTCTAAGCAGGCCTGACCTCAATAGTAAGTGATTGTTTCCGTTAGGCTTGAAGTTGCTCTGGGGCTGATGGTGAATATTACTATATTTGGAAAGTTGGTCATGTCATCCTAACATTGGTTAAAGTTTAAGAAGGGACATGTGCTGCAGAAAGGCAATTTGGACTAAGAGATCTCTGGTGAACTGTGCTTGGTAAGGACTGGAAACTCCCAAATTTTTAATTTCCCCAAGGCAGCTGTTTCTGAGAACAACTAGCTCAACCTCACTCAGTATTAGTCCTTTTCCCCTCTGGCCCTTCATAAGTTTTCATGGAAATGATATAATTCACTGACTTTTTCTTTAATCTTGCCTTTGTCCAAATGTCGCCTTATGTCTCTCATCCTTCTGTGTTTGCCTGCCTAGTCTTTCCAAATAAAGTATAAACTACTCAAAAGCAGGAAACTGTGTTACCCTGATGGACCTGATCATCTCCAGGGCATGCTGTGAGGGATTCTGGAGGGCCTCCTAACTAAATACACTTTTCCACTCAGGTTCTTTTGGCGCCCAAAATTGCTAGTATTAGAGCACTTTAGCTGACTAATGACAAAGAAAGCTCCTTTCAGAATGTTCATTTAAGGATCTTGAACTATTATCAACCATTTGCACCCTCTCTTGAATAAGTACATCCCATAAACTAGTCAGTCACCTAGAAAAACTTTGGAGAAATGGGACTTCAGTTTCGGGAGGCTCTGCTGTTTTCAAACGTAAATTGAAAGTTCTATATCTTGTATGAGGTAAAACCTTACCCTCAGTCTCCTTTCAAAAGCTGAAATGTTGCCTTTGTTTTGCTCCTTCCGCTGCCGCCATTCAATGAGATTTGCGTTGTGTTCTCCTGGCAGCGAGATGTTGCACTTGCCCAAGGTGGGGTTCACTGCCCCGGCCAGGATGTGGGGCTCTGAGCTGAGGCTGATCTCCATGCCGCTGGCAAATGTGACACGTAGGGAGCCGTCTGGACTCACCCGGTAGGTACTTTGGGTATTTTCTGTAGAGATAGGAGGAAAGGAGAAAGAGGGGGTAAAAAGGGAAGCGCAGGAATCAGAGAAGACACAAGTTTAGCTTTAGGAGGCAAGTTTGGGGAGAGATGAGCAGGTGGGGTGCCGCGGGCCCAACTGCCTTCTGGGCTAGACAGCCACTCTGACAGGCAGATGCACCCTCTGTCCATTTGGGTCTTGTTATTTTCACAGCTGGGGTATCTTGTTTCTTGGGTAAAAGACTCCTGTCTAATACTGCAGGCTTCCCCCTCCCCCCATCTTTAAAGCATTCCCTCACAAACTCCCTTTCTGACTTGGTGGATCAGCCTTCTCAGTTTGATATGCTGGGACCTAGCATGAGAAGAGTATCAAGTTCAACTCAGCATTTTTACTGCCTGTAGACACCCACATAATCGTTGTACCCAATAAAACAATAACACTGACAAAGGTTGCCACTGATCCTTGTAGAGTGGATCTGAACATTGGACAGCTCTGTGTTTGTCCCCACTTAACAACAGAATCAGTCCTTAATGACTGGGCAGAGAGAAAACAGTTTCTCTGTGTCCACCTCCCTTTTAGTTTCCAAAACATTCCTTCCAATTCCAACCTCCCTTCCTTCTTCCCTTCCTCCCTCCCTCCCTTTCCTTCTTCTTTCTTTCCTTCCTTCCTTCCTTCCTTCCTTCCTTCCTTCCTTCCTTCCTTCCTTCCTTCCTTCCTTCCTTCCTTCCTNTCTTTCCTTCCTTCCTTCCTTCCTTCCTTCCTTCCTTCCTTCCTTCCTTCCTTCCTTCCTTCCTTCCTTCATTCCTTCCTTCCTTCCTTCTCTTCTCCCCTCCCTTCCTTCCTTTTTTTGTTTTCTTCCATTCTTTCTTACTTTACTCTCTTTGAATATGATCTTTTAATTCTCTCATTTCACTTATATCCTTGCTTAGTGTGTATCCTAATTTATCCTTTTTATTTAACAATATCAGCATGAATCTTGAATGCTAATCTCGGATGGTGCACAGACGCCATTTCTTTGCCCTTTCAGAGCCTAAAAGAGCTTTACACACAGCTGGGTGCTGGGAAATGACTTGATGGAAGAGAGGATTTGGCAGTGATGTACCTCATGACTCCCACAGAGAAGTGGCTCAAGGTTGCTATGTGAAGTTGTGAAAGGAGTGATTTTGTCTGAATTTCAGCCTCCATAGCTGAAAAATAGAGAAGAAGCCATCTTCTCAGCCAGAAGTGAATTATATTTATTGATGGTGTTCAGAGGTTTTGAGGATAGATGTCAAAATAGGTGCTAATAGGCGAAATTGGAAATATTCTTACCTTGTTTTAAAATATATATGGTACTGGTTGCTGTCAAGTTGGTTGACATGAGGACATTTTCACGGTTGGAAGTATCTAGCTCCACTTTTGTCAGCTTCTCCAGGTCACTGTGAAAGCTGCTGACCTCTCCAGTGGGAAATGTTGCATTGGTCAGATGTCCCTCGGGGTCATACCTGAGGAATGGAACCAATGCCAACTTTGAAGCCTCTTGGCAGTGATAACAGGTCTTTGAAAATAAAAATCACTTGGCAGCTAATGCAGTTTAACTTTGAGTGATAACAAGTATTATTAACCTTGTTCAATAAGAAGAAAAAGGTCAGAGAGATGATTAATCAAACGAAGGTATTTTTTGCAGCTTCTGAATTCTTGATGACTTCCTTGAGCTGTGCTGTTTTACAGAAAAAAATATATCTGGTAATGAATCACCAGGGTGGAAAACTGATTTATGAATCATGTCTTGCTGTGTGCAGTGTTGCAGGGCAGTCTCCGTTTGCAATTTGGGTCCATTCCATTAGATGCGATGGATGACAGAGCCCAGCAGAGGGTAGTGTTGGCAAAGGAAATGGAGGCACAAATAAGTGCCTAAAGCCTGAGAAGGCCAATGACTTTGCATTGTGATAGGAAAATTATATTTGCTGCTGTTTAAGTAGCCAAATTTGAAATGAATGAATCATTCTTCCAACAGAATGAGCAAGCACAGAAGATAATGGAAACATGTTCATTAAAACATTCTGGAGGCCCCTGATCTCAGTGTTTCAATTTTAAAAAAATCTTTTTTAGAGTATAGCACATAATGTATTGTAATTTGCTTATATGAGTAAGAGACAAAAAACATAATTACCTGGGATAATAGGCAATAACCTATATCTAGAAATATAGTCTAGTGAGTTTACTTTTTTAAAAAAAGTCAGAATTATTGGCAGTCTCACTGTCCTCCAAATGAAAACTGCTTCCCTGAAGGCTTTTGATGTGCAGTTGTTCTGTTATTGCCAATAGAACCATGAAAAATAAACACTTCATTAAAAATAAAGACATGCACTTGGATACCCATCACTGTTTTCTTTAAACTGCAAATTACAAAATATTTAAGCACATTTATTTGCTTTTAAAATGTTAAACAATTATATTATTTTTACCTAAAGTGAACAGGATACAACCTAGACACAATGGTGGAGTCTGGCACTGCTTCCTCCTCCCCCAACAATTATACAAAATGGTACAGTAATTCAGTATTAATCCATTAGGTTTTAAAGAACACAACCTACATAGTTGCTCAAATTTTAAAACGTAGGCTAGCTTTTGGTAGGTTTGGGAAAAGGGGCTGGGCCTTATTTTATCAAACAGAACTGAACTTGAGGTTAAACTGCTGCCTCAAATTCAGTTCTGTGTGTACACAGGCATGTGTGTAAGTGCACAAACACTATCAATTAAAACAAACATGTATACAAATAAAATACCCAAATAGGTCATTTGACAATAGAGGTATGCCAAGCCCTAGTTGTTTAAATGGGTGTACCCTTTGTTTACATGGAGTTCAGTCAGAATGGTTGTTGGTGTATTGCCACTATACAGGTAAGGTCTCATTATCAAAGAAAGGCCAAAAGGTGCTGCTTGTACCTGAGGTGCATGGCAAAATCCTCCTGCCTGCTCAGCCTGTTTGCCCATGGCTTACTCTGGGGCTCTGTGGCTACAAGTAGCAGGCCTCTGTCGAGAAAGGGGCATGAAAAGGCTTGAATGCCTAGCATAGCAAACCGCGTATGCTTGGTCGTCCTTACAGGAGAGGAAAACAGCATCCAGCCTTGATTCTCCCAAGACACCAAGTTGCTTTTCCCTGTAAGGGGGAGTTTCAAGGCAGCAGAGAGAAGGAAGCTGCTGTAGGCCTGCCTCATGAGAAAGGCTGTGTCCCCACAGCTTGGATTACAAAGGCAGTTCCTCCCTTTCACATCCATTGCCAGCACCTCTGGTGTCCCTTTCCTGATTTGTAAGTGGTTTCCTCAACCTTTGGAAAGGTCACTCTTCAACATTTCTCTAGGAAATCTGACATAAGATGCTATGTGTGCAGGTTTCCGAAGGGCTTTGTAGCCTGGGGCAGCTTCCTGCTTTCCCAGTCACTCTGCCCCTTTGTTTTAAAACAAGATTTTATCTAAAGGTGAGGGCAGTGATTTGGTCCAGTCTTCAGGGCAAGATCAGATGCCAACTAATCCATCCATGAGTGAAGGTACAGGGCCAAAAATTCCAATGAACCTTAGGAGTGGCCTGTGGATAAATCTGGTTTCATACCCACCCCCTCCCTGCAACATTTAAAGTTCAGTCGCTGGTGCCCCTTGTCTGAAATTATACATTTTAAAGCTTATTCCCAAGATCATAGCCATGTTCCTACATATTATGTTCCTAACCCTACCCCTCAATTGACAGGAGTACATTTGAAAAGGAAAGCTAAACAATCCTGGATAAAACTGTAATTACCTGGATAGATCTCACTGTGAGGCTGCCGCCTAGTTCTTTCCTGGTGAGGGAAGAAATGGTGGGGGGGATCAGGTAGAATATCCCACATGTCCTGCCCAGTCTCTGTGCAACTAGAAGGTTATACTGCCTGATTTCCTTTCTGTGGCTGGATAGACATTCTTATTTGAAAGGGCACATTTGATTTAATGCTATCATTAACAAAGCACTCTGCTTTGAGGACATTATGCTAAGTGAAATAGTTCTGGCAGAAAAAGACAAATGGTATATAATCTCACTTATATGTGGAATCCAAAGCAAACAAACCACCCCCATCCCCAAACCAGCACACACCAAGCTCATAGAAAAAGAGATCAGAAGATGGTGGAGTAAGTAAATGCTGTGCTCGCCTACTTTCACAACCACATCAAAATTACAATTAAATTACAGAACAACCAGCATTGAAAAATACCTGAAGTCTAGCTGAACTGAAGTCCTAAAACTAAGGACTTACAGAAACCACCTCAAGACTGATAAGAGGGGCAGAGATGCAGAACAAGCTAGTCCCAAACCCGCTTGTGATTGTTAAAAATTGGGAGGCATATCTCAGCTGCAGAGGTCCCCCCTGAAGGAGTGAGGGGTCCCAGGCCCACACCAGGATCCCCAGCCCAGGGTTCCAGTGCTAGGGAGAGAAGTCCCCACAACTTCTGACTGTGAAAACCAGGGGAGATTGTGGCTAAGTAAGATGGCAGGCTACTGGAGTCCCAAACGTTCTTCTTAAAGGGTCTACTCACAGATTTACTTGCTGATGGACTCACTCACTCTGAGCTCCAGTGCTGGGGTGGCAACTCCAGCCACAACGAATGTGTGGGGAGCAACCGTGTTGTCTGACTTCAGGGAGAGAGCTGCAGGGGCAGTTTTCTCCCAGACAGAAATGCTAGAAGAATCCATTGTTTCTTGGTTGAATCCTCCCTCACTCAGCACGAAGACAAAGGCGACTGCCATATTTGAGTCTCCATCAACCTGGCTAACACCGTTCCCCCCCCCCTGGTGATTCCCTGAAATCTCACCCCACCCAACTTTTGGGCACACCCACACCACTTCCAGTGGCTTTTCCAAATAAATGGCCTGTCTTGGCTCATGCTGCAGACTTTCAAAAATCTCTCAAAGGTTGAAAAACCTAACCAAGCAGCATCTGGCTTAAGCATGTTTTGTACCTCTTTCTAAGCAGCCCCAAGCCTGGCATTAGTGACAGCTGGTCTTGGTTTGTGGCTTGGTTTCTCTACGCACCTCAAACCCCACTGTGGGTGGTGACCATATGCAGATTGCTTTGTGGCTCATGGCAAGTGGCTCTGGGAAGGGCACAGGCTGTGGCTGATCTTCGTCTGTGGTAGAGCACCTCCCAAAAGGCCCTGGGTCTTGCATGCCTGGTGGTAAGCTTTGGACTGAGCCAGAGCATCACCTAGCCACTCCCAAGGATGAGACACCAAAAGGGCAGACTGGGCAGGCACCAGAGCCTTGCTAAAGCAAATCTTGCTGCATAAGGTCAGCCTCTGCACAACAGTTCCTACACTGTAGTCATGGCCTGTCCTCACAAACAATTAGCCTGAGGGTCAATCCCTTCCACTGCCATGCAAACACCAACCAAGGCTCAACAAAAATAGGAGGGCACACACAACCCACACAAAGGATACACATGGAGCACCTGGCTCTGGTGATGAGGGAGACTGCCACTAGGCCCCACAGGATATCCACTATATAGGGCCACTCTTTTAAGATCAGGAGACATAGCAGCTCTACCTAATACATAGAAACAAACACAGGGAGGCCACCAAAATGGGGAGACAAAGAAATATGTTTCAAGTGAAAGAACAGAATAAAGCTCCAGAAAGAACTAAACAAAACAGACACAAGCAATCTTCTAGATATGGAGTTCAAAACATTGATTATAAGGATGCTCAATGATCTCACAGAGAATTTCAAAAAACAGATACAAAACATAAAAATGGAGATAGAAAACATAAAAAAACAGTGATAAATAAAGAATACAGTACCTGAAATGAAGAATACTTTAGAGAGAATCAACAGTAGATTAGATAAAGCAAAGGATCAAATCAGCAATTTAGAAGAATAGGTAGCAGAAAACATCCAATCAGAACAACAACAAAAATCCAAAAAAAGGAGGATATTTTAAGGGACCTTTAAGACATCAAGTATATCAACATTCACATCATAAGGCTGCCAAGAGAAGAGAAAGAGCAAAGAATTGAAAACGTATTTGCAGAAATAATGTCTGAAAACTTCCCTAACCTGGTGAACGGAATATACATACAAATCCAGAAAGTGCAGCGTGCCAAAACGATGAACCCAACGAGACCCACACCAAGACACATCATAATTAAAATGCCAAAGGTTAAAGACAAAGAGAGAATCTTAAGAGCAGCAAAGCAAAGGTAGTTAGTCACCTACAAGGGAGCTCCCATAAGACCTTCAGCTGATTTCTCAACAGAAATTTTGCAGGCCAGAAGGGATTGGCACAACATACTCAAAGTGATGAAAAGCAAGAACCTACAACCAAGATTACTCTACTCAGCAAAGTTAACATTTAGAATCTAAGGACAGATAAAGAGCTTCCTAGACAAGGGAAAGATAAAGCAGTTTATCACTACCAAACTAGTATTACAAGGAATGTTAGAGGGACTTCTTCAAGACAAATATATATATATAGTAA